TTTCAAAGAGGGAGCATTGCTCTTATCACTCCTTCAGGTGGAGTTGCATTTGTATGAGCAGAAGACTGAACAATGGGATGTCAGGGGAGAGAGCTGCCTGAGACTATCTGGCCTAGGATGTTTGTGAGACAGTGAAGAGAGCAACCCACCGAAGTGGCTGTGCACTGGGCCACATCACACCTTTAGGTGGATGGGTAAGGCCATGGAGTAGCAAAAGAGTCTTTGGGAGGAGGGTGACAGTTCAGTTTATCTTTTTTATCATTTTTGAGCAAAAAAAAAAAAAAAAAAAAAAACGGCAAATCCTAATAGGAAGTTGGTCCTCAGGAAGAAAAGTTGAGCATCCTCTCAACTAAAACATTTGGACTGGCCGGGCACGGTGGCTCATACCTGTAATCCCAGCATTTTGAGAGGCTGAGGTGGTGGATCACCTAAAGGTCAGGAATTTGAGACCAGCCTGACCAATGTGGTGAAACCCCGTCTCTACTTAAAAAAAAAAAAAAAAAAAAAAAGCCAGGCTTGGTGGCAGGCGCCTGTAATCCCAGCTGCTCAGGAGGCTGAGACAGGAGAATCACTTGAACCACGGAGGCAGAGGTTGCAGTGAGCCGAGATCGCACCACTGCACTCTAGCCTGGGTAATGAGAGTGAAACTCCGTCTCAAAAAGAAAACAAAAAAAAAAATTTGGACTTATCCTTTGGTCTGTTCTCTTGTAAACTCTTATGTTAACATACCTTTTAGAAACATCTTACTTTCGATATCACATAGTCTTGGATCTGGCATAATTAAATGATATTTCCCAAAGAGATTTCTCCACGAAAGATCAGCTACAACTTGTCTGCTTGGTCTCTGGCTCCAGCCCCCATGTTCAGGTCTTCACCTCCCAGTCCTTCTTAATCAGATCTCCCCATCCTGTGTCCATTTGATTCCCGAGACCCACCAGGTGCCTGGTTAACTTGTCTCAAAATAAATGTATGGAACAAAGGTGTTCAACATTGATAATGCAAAATATACATTACATGAAGAGGAAATCTGATGAAGGAAAAGATGTTCAATCTCACTAGTAATCAGAAGAGTGCAAATGTGAGATAATTTTTCAATTACCAAATGAAACAAGAGATAAGAGAAAAGAATGAAAATACCCGAAGTCTGGGGAGACCTTCAGGGAAATGTAAGATCTCACTGTTGGCACTGGGCACTGACACAAGCTTTCTGGAAAACAGGTTTGGTAATGTTTGTTATAAATGTAAAAATTGTCAGACACAGCAATTCCACTTCTGAGGAGAGCGTTTTCTCTAAATACAATTATTGGACCAGGGGATCTAAGGATGTTTCGACCCAGCCTTATTAATAGAAGAATAAATTAGAAATAATCTGAATGTCCACCAGTTGACGAACTGTTCACTATCAATTAGGTACGTATCAGACAGTGGAAATACTAGAAAACCTTCAGAATGATGTTTTTTCTCTTTTTTTTTTTTTTTTTTTTTTTTGAGACGGAGTCCTACCTCTGTCGCCTCACCAGGCTGGAGTGCACTGGTGTGATCTTGGCTCACTGCAAGCTCCGCCTCCTGGGTTCACGCCATTCTCCTGCCTCAGTCTCCCAAGTAGCTGGGACTACAGGCGCCCACCACCATGCCCAGCTAATGTTTTGTATTTTTTGTAGAGACGAGGTTTCACCGTGTTAGCCAGGATGGTCTTGATCTCCTGACCTCGTGATCTGCCCTCCTCGGCCTCCCAAAGTGCTGCGATTACAGGCGTGAGCCACCGCACCCGGCCCAGAATGATGTTAATACTAATAGACACGAAAGGATGTCCATTAGATACTATGCCCTTAAGGTCCTTGTGGTGCCATTAATGTAAAGTTAATGCAAACATGGGCATATGTGCACGCATGCACAGGCATATGTGGGTGCATGCACAGGGAGATCTAGAATGGCAGTTACCAAAATATCAACCATCAAGACATCAATATGATGTCTCCTGGTTGGAGAAGCTTTGAATGACTTTGCTTTCTTCTTTTTTTTTATTGTTCCTAAAATTACAAAAGTAATATTCTTTATTTTTAACTTAATAGCTAACATTAACAGAGTATTTTGTGTGCTAGGCACTGCTCTAATTGCTGTACACTATTATTATTACTGAAGAAATCAAAGGTGATGCGAGATTAAGTAACTTACCTGAGATTCTCAGCTAGTAAATGATGGAGCTGGTTTTCAAAACCTGATAGTGTTGCTTCATAGACTGCGCTCTTTTTTTTAAAAAAATGTAGACGGAGTCTCACTCTGTCACCCAGGCTGGAGTGCAGTGATGCCATCTCGGCTCACTGCAACCTCTGCCTTCCAGGCTCAAGTGATCCTCCCACCTCAGTCTCCCAAGAAGCTGGGACCACAGCTGCGTGCCACCATGCCCAGCTAATTTTTTGTATTTTTTGGTAGAGTCAGGGTTTCACCATGTTGCCCAGGCTGGTCTCAAACTCCTGAGCACAGGCGATCCACCCGCCTGGGCCTCCCAAAGTACTGGAATCACAGTCATGAGCCACCTCACCCAGCCCAACCACTACACTAACTAACCCCAATAGAGTGAAAGTCTTAAATGCCGCCCCAACAACAATCCTACTCCTCTGCTCAAAGTAATCATTGTTAACCATTTGACATGGATCCCTCCAAAACGTTTGCTTTCTCCAGACACATGTGCGTGCACACACAAGTGTGTTTTTCTTTTTTATAAAATGGGATGGTAGTGTCCGTTCTGTCAGCATGTGAGTTCACCCTCGTATTTTTTATTTATTTCTGGGGGATCCACAGCATGGACATACAGAATTGATGTAATCATGCTTCTACTGAAAACCTGGTGGTTTCCAGTTCTTTGGCCTAACAGAATAAGGCTTCATCGAGCGTCCTTGTATACATATTACAGGGTGTGGCAGTGTAATTATATTCCTGTGATCGTTTCCTAGAAATGGAACCGCTGGGTCAAAAGGCATGCACACTGAATGTTGAAAGAGGCTGCCCACGCCAGGAAGGCTGTGTCATTACACCTGCAGCAGATAGAGGCCACCTCCCTATGTTTTCACTGACATAGGAAGTTGTCAATCTTTTTAACTTTTGCCCATGTAAGAAATGAAGAATGTTATTTCATTTGTAGTAATTTAAAAGTCCGTGATTACTGGTAAAGTTGAGCATCTTTTCATATGTTTATTGGCCATCTTCATTTCTTCTCAGGATTGTTTACTTTCTATTGGGTAATTTGAGTTAATTGGTTAATTTCTTATTAATTCAAAGGAGCATTGTTGTATTATAAATATTAGTCTTTTGGTGCTTTCTTTGTTTCAGATATTTTTCTCAGCACATTTCTTCAAACTTGATTTATATGTTATTTTACTATATAGAAGTTTTCATTTATTTTAGTTTTGTGTAATCAAATCTGTCCATTTTTTTTTTCTTTTTGGTTTTATACATATGGTTTTGTTTAGGAAGTCTTTCTCCACAATATTCTCCAAGAATATAAGAATGCTCTCCTATATTCTCTTCTAGTACATTTGCATTTTTGCTTATATATTTATTTTTATGTTTAGACTTTAATCCATGAAGAATTTAGTATTGTTTTTGGTGAAAAGTAGGGATTTAACTTTCTATTTTTAGGTTGGTTGTCTTTTAAACAACTCCTTCATCAAAACCCAAATTCCGTGACTAGGCGTGGTGGCTCACAACTGTAATTCTAGCACTTTGGGAGGCCAAGGTGGGCCAATCACTTAAGCCCAGGAGTTCAAGACCAGCCTGGGCAACATGATGAAACCCCATCTCTACAAAAAATACAAAAATTAGCCAAGCAAATTGGTGCATGCATGTAATCCCAGCTACTTGGGAGGCTGAGTTGGGAAGATCACCTGAGCCCAGGTGGTCGAGGCTGCAGTGAGCTGAAATCATGCCACTGCATTCCAGCCTGGGTGAGACTCTGTCTAAAACAACAACAACAACAACAACAAAAAACCTGAATTCCAATGGATATACAGATCTGTTTCTAGACTGTTGTGCCATTGATCCCTTGTCTATATCTGGCCTGGAATCACACTGCTTTAATTACTGAAGCTTCTCCACAAGTTTTTATATGTGTTAAGGCATGCCCCATCCCCATTTCTCCTCGTTTTTCAACTTTCCCCAACCATTCTCATATGTTTACTTTTTTTAGAGGAACTTTAGAATTAGATAGTCATGGTCCAAAAGTCCTCCCTTGGGATTTAAGTTGTAATAGATTGGCGCTACCCATGCATTTGTGGTTGACATCTTACAAAGGGGAGCTAGGTGTGTCCAGCCAGGACTCCTTGCTCCCCTGGCTCTGTCTGAGGCCTTTCTACTTGAACACCCAGCCCATGATTCCAAGGCTTCTAGAAAGGACAGATCCCTATACATCCTTGGTTTATTTTCTTTCCTTCCCCGGATGGCATGTGGATTTTTACCTGAACTTTCAGAGGCAAAAACAGTGTAAAGCATGGAAACCTCAGACCTTGCAGGGGAACTCAGGGAGAAATATTTTTCGTCAGGGAACATTTTTCCTGCTCCCAGCAAACCACACTGAACACTCATGTGTGAACAGCCTGAGATAATCAGGTTCCAGTTGAGGCTTTTTTAAAAAAACAGCCTTATTGTTCTAGAGTAACTTAAAATTCTCTAATTGTAAGTGTACTGGTAAATGATTTTTAGAAAATGTATGGAATTGTGCAACCATGTCCATAATCCAATTTTAGAACATTTCCATCACTCCCAGAGGATCCCCCATGCCCCTGTATAGTTCTCTGGATGCCACTTTCCTTAACATGACAGTATCAGGAGGAGTGGGGGACAAATTAGGGCATTCCCAAGAGATCCTCTGCCTATGAGTCTAGGACCAAAACCACAACCACATACATAGCATGACCCCACAGGACACCCATCTCTTGGGGAGACCCAGGCGGGCCTCCTCCTGAGGGCCCTGGCCACACTGAGCCCCATCCTTACCCTTCCAGGTGGATAAAGTTTGAAGAAAAGGTAGAGGAAGGCGGCGAACGCTGGAGCAAGCCCCACGTGTCCACACTGTCCCTGCACAGCCTCTTCGAGCTCCGTACCTGCCTGCAGACGGGGACAGTGCTGCTGGATTTGGACAGCGGCTCCTTACCACAGATCATAGGTGAGGCAGGGGCCACTATGTGCATCTCTCCTGTGGTCCCTGCAAACCAGGCAGCTCCCCTGACCTCATGCCTGCTCTCGAGTCTATGTGACTAGCCCATCTCTGACACCTGATTCTGCAGAGACCAGAATTGCAGACCTCTGTTGCTCCCAGGGCAGGATCATAGTCACTCCAAGTTTCAGTTTCATGTAGACCTCCAGTAGAGACGAAAAGACCATCCTCCAAAATGCCAACCAGAAATGTAGCAAAGGGGAGAGGGCCTCTTGCATAGTCAGAGACACCTCTTGCCATGGCAACCTGTTTCTTTTCAGGGTAAACTGGGTCATCATTCATCTTTAGGAAATTAGCTGTCATTTAGTGGTGTGTCAAAGGGAAGAGGTGGCTTGCCTTAACACCCCTAAAATTTTTTGTGATTTTTGTTCTAGCACATTGGATTTTGCCAGAAGTATTTTGCCCAAAATACTTTTCTAAAAAGAGTTCGTTTTAGGATTAAAACCATTGAACACAGGATTTTTGTGCCTCCTGGGGCAGTTTCGTATGTACTGTTTCTTTCCCTTTTCATAAGAACACTGACAGAAAGAGCAGAGTCACACACACACACACACACACACACACACACACAGACATGCACATGCCCTTGAACAGGAGGAGGCCAAGAGTTGATGATGTGTCCAGTTTTCCACAGCTAGTGGCAAATCTAGGAGTATTTCCACTGACCCCCTGCCACATTTAATCCCACTAATAACAGGTGAAACTGAAGACCCCCATACCCTGGGGCGGTTCTGTCCCACAGGGACGAGGTGTGTATGTTTTCCACACAGATGATGTCATTGAGAAGCAGATTGAGGATGGTCTCCTGCGACCAGAGCTCCGGGAGAGGGTCAGTTACGTCCTCCTGAGGAGGCACCGTCACCAAACCAAGAAGCCCATCCACCGCTCCTTAGTCGACATTGGGAAGTCAGTCTCCACCACAAGTGAGTCAGGCCTTACGCTGGTAGGCATGGGACATGCAGGGCCAGTATCAGGCCCTGGTACCTGGGTGAGCCCACCTTAGGGGCTGGGAGTTTCTGGAGAAATTCTGATGTTCTGGGGATCCCTCAGCCTCTGTCTCTGGCAGGCCTGTGGGGACCCCAGCCACACTCGCATGTTGTTCCCACCACCAGAGCAGAACAATTTCTAGGGAGAGAGTTGGTTCTCAGCTAGGGCTGCACATGGCAAATCACTTTGGAGATTGAGACGTGTCCTAATGCCTGTACCCCTGGAGAGTTGGAGTCAGCTGGTCTGGGGTATGGCCTGGAAAAAGAGAGAGAGGTTAGAATGCACCCCAAGAGATTCTCGTGTCACACAGCATTGGGAAATGCTGGTAGAGATGGCTTGCTATGGAAAGGACCCAAAAGTTTCACATCAAACCCCCTGGAGAGGTCAAGAGCCTCAGCAGAAAATGGAACACATCAGGGTGGTAGAAGGGGCTGGGCTTATCTCAAGAGTGCCAGGGCTTGTAGATCTGGTGGTTGATGTCACTCTGATTAGCAGGACCTGGGGCCATTCAGAGAGAGTGAATTGTTCCACGCGCACATCTCAAATCTCCAACACTCCACTATCAATATCCGAGCCTAGATGCCCAGAGACACTAGCCCTGCTGAGCCTGTCAGACAAACACAGTAACCAGAGCAAAGTTGCTACGTTAAAAACATTGAGGAGCCTCTAAATGAATTACTTAAAAATGGGAAGTGAGCTGGGCACGGTGACCCACAACTGTAATCCCAGCACTTTGAGAGTCCAAGTGGGCGGATTGCTTGAGCTCAGGAGTTTGTGACCGGCCTGAGTGACATGGCATCAACCCCATCTCTACAAGAAATACATAAACCTCATGGTTTAAACCCCATGGCATAAACCCCGCCTTACAAAAAATTAGCCAAGCATGGTGGCACACACCTGTAGTCCCAGCTAATCAGGAGGCTGAGGTGGGAGGGTTGCTTGAACCCAGGATATGGAGCTTTCAGTGAGCAGAGATTGTGCCATTGCACTGCATCCTGGGCAACAGAGCAAGACCTTGTCTCAAAAAATCCCTCCCAAAACAACAGGAAGTGTTTAACATACCATAATAGCAACAGATACATACTCAGCACTTAACTACCTTCTGGGCACTATTCTGAGTGCTCTTCCTGTTTTAACTCACTTCATCCTAACAAAAACGCTGTGGTGTGTAGGTATGGTTCTTGTCTCCATTTTACAGATGAGACGCCTGAGGCACAGAGTTTAAGTAACTTGCCTAAGGTCACAAAGCCAGTAAGTGTGGAATCAGGGATGAACCCAAGCAGCCTACTACATCTTGTGCCCATTTAATGAACTGTGTATCTATCTCACTTTCAACAGTACAAATATTCTGTCTGTAATCTTGTTCTTTTTTTTTTTTTGAGACGGAGTCTCACTCTGTTGCCTGGGCTGGAGTGCAATGGCGTGATCTCAGCTCACTGCAAACTCTGCTTCCTGGATTCAAGTGATTCTCCTGCCTCATCCTCCCAAGTAGCGGGGATTACAGGCGCCCACTACCATGCCTGGCTATTTCTTGTATTTTAGTAGAGACAGGGTTTCACCATGTTGACCAGGCTAGTCCCAAACTCCCAACTTCAGGTGATCCACCCGCCTTGGCCTCCCAAAGTGCTGGGATTACAGGCGTGAGCCACTGCGCCCAGGCTGTAATCTTGTTCAGACTATTGACTTGCTTAAATTTAAAAAAAAAAAAAAAAAAAAAAAAGAATTTCTTCCTAGAAGGGGAAGAGACATGTCTTGCTGCCCAGTTTTATTTATCTAAAGTGAGCTAACCCAAGAGGCTTCACTACACCAGCAAGGCTGTCGAAGCCAAGTCTCTTCTGATTCTCCTCCCAGATCGCAGTCCCGCCCGGAGCCCTGGTGCTGGCCCGAGTCTACACCACTCCACGGAGGACCTGCGGATGCGGCAGAGTGCAAATTACGGACGTCTGTGTGAGTGTGTGCTTCGCCACTCTGTGGCAACTTTATTCAGGCTGTGGCAACTGTGACATGGCCACATTGCCGTAGGTAGGGGAGACAAAGCCCAGGATCTGCCAAGAATTCTCAGGGCATGCATCAGGAGGAGCCTAACTTTCACTCTAAACCCAGGCTACTCTCAGGGCCTCATTTACTACCATAATATTCAAGTCATTCCTCTGAAAAATGAGGCTCTCAGTCACATCCTGGTGTAATCAATACCCACTCCCATGTTCTAGGTGTTTTTATCTTAGTCTGTATCTTCATCTTCATCAAACTGACATTAACCCTGTTTTTTGGTGAAAAGCTTTCCTGGAAATGGAATAAAAAACAGGCAAGGTCCTTTCCTTCTGTTCAGTCAGGCAGCATTCCCATCACTGGGTGGCAGTCTCGTGCCACCATGAAAAAGAAATGTGGGCAGAGTCATGGCCCCTTTTTTCTGGGAATGGCTGGTCGGGGGCGGGGTGTGGGTTTGAGGTGAGAGGTGACAGACAGGCTTTTCACGCACCTCACCTCGTCAGGGATACACAGACAGACAAACTGGGGGAAAGAAAGGAGCGAACTTAGAAAATGAAGTGAAAAAGAAAAAGCAGTGAAGGACTATTTTCCTGTAGGTGCTTCTACTAAAATGCCAAGATGTTAACAAGTGCAGCCCAGTGCTGTGCCCCTGTCCAGGCCGAGGAGTGACTTGGGGGCAATGCAGCCCCTGCCCATGGCCTTGGACACAGCAGGCGTTTGCTGCAGTCTTCTCTCTCTGTCCTGATGACCCAAGTCCACTGAGTCTCCCTGGCCTTGTTATTCCACATAGGGATGCCCAGTGGCAGTGTTCAGTGGGTAGAGAGTGGCTTCGGGAAGACCTTCCACTCAGTTGTCATTGTATATGAGGTCACCTCCCTACCAACACTGCTTGGGGGTGGGAACCACTGGGACAAGAGGCATGAATGGATGATGACAGCTTTGTGTGAACCAGGTCATATTCAAGGTGGGCACCCACCCTGAGGTGGCCCAGCATGCAGAACACAGCGCACAGGGGAAGAATCAGAGAGGAGGAGATGCTGACTGAGTCTTGGAGCATAAATAGAAGTTTTCCAGGAGCAAGGAGGAGGAAGAGGGAGTTGTAAACAAAGGAAACAAATAGCAGGTGGGGGGATGGAAGAGAAGGATCTGGAGCTATGAAAGCAAAACATTGGTTCAGTTCACAGGAAGTGTAGGAGTTAAGGGGAAGAGAGGGTCAAATCAAAGAGGGCCTTGTGCACCCAGCAAAAGAACCCGGGTTTTATTCTGAAGATAATGGGAACCCCTGGGAAGCTTGAAGCAGGAGCATGCTGTGATCAGATTTCTGTCTGAGTAGGAATAATCTAGAAGGGGCAACATTGGAAGGCAGAGACTGAGCCTGCATTCTAGAATGGAGAGGAAGGGACAGAGGTGGAATTGAAGGACTGGTGGGAAGTAGGAGGTGATGAAGAGGGAGGGCCCAAGGCTGCTCCTAGATTTCTGTCTGAAGTGCTGGTGGATGGGAGGGAGGGGCATTGAGTGGAATGTGTCCATGAGGAAAGTGATTTGGAGGGTAAAAGAGTTGCATTTGAGGTGCCAGAGGGGACTGCTCCAAGGAGTCTAGAGCTCAGAAGAGGGATCAGACTAAAGATGCATCCTGGGCGTCCTCAGCCCAAATGGGTGTTGGAAACAACAGGAGTGGGGGCTGTTGACCAGCAGAGAGGCTGAGGCACCTGGAAGGGATGAGAGCAAAGACAAGGCCCTGGGAGGCCCAAGCAGGAGAGGATCCTCGGACAGAAATGAGAGGAGGAGAGCGAAGAGGAGCAGCATTCCAGACACCACGAGTGGCACAGTCCAATAGCCAAGACACGATAGGTCTGAGGGTGTCCGCCAGATTGGGCTAGTGGGAGAGGAGAGCTGGCTTTCTCCCTCTTAACAGAGGAAGGAACTACTGGGCAGTTCAAATAATTGACTATCACTGTTCTCATGGGGAGCCCACCTTCCTTCCCTCTGCCAGCCTAAATCCCCAGCCCACGTTTAAAGACTGTCACCGGTCATGGAGGACAGAGGTGAAACTGCTCCCCTCTCCAGCAAATTCCAAGCTAAGTGACACATGGAACCTCATGTAATAATACATCTGTGTCCCTCCTCCTATCCGGACCTGGTCCAGAGCCGCACCCAGAGTAGACAGCCTGGTGACATCCAAGAAGGCGGGGTGGAGGGGTAGAGACTAGAGTGTGGTAGATTGAGGAGGGAGAAGGAAACAATGGAACCTGGAGTCTGACACCTCTTTCAGGAAAGCGGCCATTGAACAGAAGGAAAGTGAGAGGGTCCTAACTTAAAGGGACTCCAGGATTAAGGGGGAGGGGGTTTGCTTTGTTATGAACATGGGAGAGGTACATGAGTAGAGTCCATAGGAAAGGGTCCTGTGAGAACCTGGCTTCCCCTGATGGATCTTGTTTTCCTTCTCTCCTAGGTCATGCCCAGAGCAGAAGCATGAATGACATTTCTCTCACCCCAAACACAGACCAGGTAGTAAAACCCCTGCACTTAGCTGCAATGAAGGGCCAGGGCAGGAAGAAGTCTTTGGTTTCAGGAGCAGGGATCCCCTATGGGCAGAATTCCACTCCTACAAAGGAGTGGGAGTTCCAGGAAGGTCCCCAGTGAGGACTCTGGGCTGCCTGGGGGACTCTGCCAAGGCCAGCAGTCAGGGACTAGCAGAGTCCCAGGTGCTGGCTCTGTGTCAGGCCCTGGGGGTGTGGGACAGAAAACATGATCAAATGAGGCACCGGCTGTCCTTGAGCTTAGGATTTGTGGGAGAGAGAAGACCAGCACACATGGCTTCATCTATCCAGTGACCCACAAGCACCTTTAAAGATGGGATAGGGATTGGGGCTGGCAGAGAGACAGAAAAGAATCTCCCTGTGGGGACAGCAGTGGTAGTTAATTAATTAGACTGTTCAATAGTGCATCTTCTTCCTGTGGTCTCCCGTGAGCTGGGCTGAAACCCTCTTGATGAGATCAGAATTCTGCAAACAAATTGGGTCCATTTGAGAATCCTGTGACTGTGCCTCTTGGGGAAGCCCAGAAGAGGCCCCCTTAATTCCAACTCCTGCACACCTCAAGGACAGGAGGTCCCATGGTCCTCTTGTGTATCTTCCCAGGAGTAGGAAGAAAGATGACAAAGGAAACCTGAGACTTGACGAGGAGCCTTCAGGAGCTTGGGTGACCTCCAGGCCTTCCAGCCACCCCTAAGTTTGGTGGAAGGCAAAAACAAAATCAGCTCCTCATGTCAGTGTCCGGGCCCAAATAAATTAATAACAACAGTAACAAAATCAATCAATATTTAAGGTCCACACCACATGCACTACACTGTGCTGGGCATTTTCTGTGAATCACAAAGGTACTATTTTCATTCCCATTTTACTCATGAGAAAACACTGTGCCTCACAGCAGTTAAATAACACACCCAAGTCTATACAGCTGAAAGACAGAACTTTGATTTGACCTGGGTAGTCTAACTCCAGAGCCCTTAATTTGGAAGTAATTGAGGAACTAGTCAGTATTCTGGAACATTATATGGAGAGGAAAACCACTTTTACTCATGCACACAGACAGCAGAACTGTGATAAGAAAGCATTACCTAGTAAAAGTTTTTATAACCTGTTTTAATGAATATGTGAGTGGTAATAATAACACTAGCTGTCACTTTCACCAGGCAGTGCTTCTTTGATTTAGGGATTGGAACCCATCACCTAGCGCCAGCATCTAGTTCTCCTTGCTGATACCTGATGCTGCTTCTCAGTATTTGCAGCATCAGTGGTCTATGCTAGTGGGCGCTCTTTAGGTGCAAGCCCAGAGGCATTTGCTCTGCAGGCTTTTTCTTCATCATTGGTTTGTGCAAAGCTAAACTCCGTGCCTGCCCTCAGCTAGCAGATTCCCAGTGAACAGAGAGTAGATTCAGACAGCATCATTGTGCTGCAGTGACTCTGCAGTACAGAGCCAGACTGGAGTCCCCAAGGGTTCAGGAAGTGGAGTCAGCAGGGCCCTGGTTATACAAGCCCACGTCCAGGCTGTGGGCAATCCAGGGTTGGTTGGAACAGTAGCATGCTCCCATTTCTGGGATGCCACAACCCTGGCCTTCTTACCAAACATGTCACAATGTGTAAGGAAGGACCAAGTCCCTGGTTCAATTTCTCTTCTCTCCTGTATTACAGGTGGGTTGGTTGGATGGCCAGGTGTGGTGGTGCACACCTGTAATTCCAGCAGTTTGGGAGGCTGAGGCTGATGGATCACTCGAGGCCAGGAGTTTGAGACCAGCCTGGCCAACATGGAGAAACCCTGTCTCGATTAAAATTACAAAAATTAGCCGGGCGTGGTGGCACATGCCTGTAGTCCCAGCTACTCAGGAGACTGAGGCACGAGAAGTGCTTGAACCCAGGCGGAGGAGGTTGCAGTGAGCTGAGATGGTGCCACTGCACTCTAGCCTGGATGACAGAGTGAGACTCTTGTCTCAAAGCAAAACAAAACAAAACAAAACAACAACAAAAACAAGTGGGTTTGTTGGGACACCCTGAAGCATTGCTGTTTTCGAAGCCTCATTCTGCAGAGTGCTTCTGCCCAGCCTGCATCTCCTCCCCTTCCCTGGACACCCCCGCCCCAACCCCGCCTGATGCTTGGAGACGGTGACTGCCCTGGTACTCCCAGCCCTCCACCCTGAAGAATGCTGCTTAGTAATCAACTGACCATGCCTGAGACAAAGGGACATTTTGAATCTCGGGGACTCTGGTGTTCCTGTCAATTCCTGCTTTTTCTCACTATATTAGGATCCTTGGGGCTACTGATGGTTGCCCAGGTGGTTGTGGAGGGTTATTTTTTTTTCCCCAATTGGATTTAAAAGATTATAAGGGTACAGCTGTTGCTCACGAGCCCCTCCTCGTGCTGGTAGGCCAACCAGCCCAGTGTGTATGATGCCCCCACGTGAGTTGAATCAGGAAACAGCCATGGGGACAAAAGGGCAGGACCTGTTGACCAATCCATGCCCACAACTGACCCCTCCACAGGGACAGGAAGAGACACAAGGAACCTGTGTCTTCACTGAGGCTGTGAGAAACAGGCCTGTGCCCACGGGAAAGACTCCAGCAGAAGGGGGATTGGTGGGAAAATTGTGATATTCACAGGCGCTCTCTTCAGAGCTGTCCTCTACCCTCAGGCTCTTTCCCACTGTGTCAGCCACTGTGGACTGCACGCAGCCCTGCCGCCACCCCAACTGCTCCCCTCCATCTTCCAACAAAATTATCTCTGTCTCTTGTCTGTCCATGCCCTTGCTGCCCAGAGAGAAAGCAATCTGAAAAAGAAATTCATTCTAAGATGTTGAGGACTAAGAAGAGCTTGAAAGTAGCCACCCCTGGAGGATCTTCAGTGTAAAAGAGGACTCAGGAAGAATGAAGTTATAAATGCAGACAGTGGGAACATGTTTGGGTGGAGGGTTTGTCTCCAATACCTCTCACATCAGACCCCACTGGCTCTGCCTGTGTGACCTTCTTCCTTTGAAGAGACACTAGCCAGAGGGACTGAAGAGAGGCTACCTTGATAGTCTCCGCTGGAAAATTCCAGAAGTTATGAATTTCCTGGGAGGTCCCCTGGGGGTAACTTAGGGTCATGGAAGTCTCCCACAGACTTGGAGACTGGTCCAGGAATTCCTGTGAGCCAGGAAGCTGGTGACAAAGGGAAAAGAAGGCCTGTCTACTCTGACCATCAGAACAGGCCTCCTCCTCCCCACAGCCACCAAAAGTGAAGGTGGAGAGGGGAGGTCTGGGTGGCTAGAGTAGAAGCACTGAGACTTCCCATCTGCTCAGCCTGAAGAAGGCAATCTGGGCCTGATGTCTGGCAACCCCAGGGCTCTTCTCTGACCCCTCAGCCCACAGCTCAGTGGAGCCGTTTTCATCCATCAAGGAATGTCTTAGTCAAGGAGAGTCATTGCCAGTACCTTCCCATCTACAAGGCTTAATGGTGCCTGGGGTTAACCTACATTCAGTCTTCCCATCTGCAGAATCAAAGGAGTACTTGTTTATTCTTTCAGTGTCTTAGCAACATTGAGAGAATTTTTTTCAAGTTAGGCCTCAAAGCAGTCTGAAGGAAAGTGAAGGAGAGCAGGTGGGAGTCTTCCTTGGCAATCTCATTTCCCCTCCCTGTCCAGCGGAAAAACAAATTCATGAAGAAGATTCCCAAGGACTCAGAAGCCTCCAACGTGCTCGTGGGTGAGGTGGACTTCCTAGACCAGCCATTCATCGCGTTCGTGCGCCTCATCCAGTCGGCCATGCTGGGAGGAGTGACCGAGGTGCCTGTCCCCACCAGGTGAGAGCCACTGAAACCTGTCCCCATGCCACCCTTAGGGAACCAGTCAGCAGTGCAGTCAGCAAACAGTGCTGTTGACTGTTAGTGCTCTCAGAGACACCTCTAAACTTGGAGGCTGCTGGGAAGGGAAATCTTCTGACTAGAGAAGAGTTTTAGAGTTTATTAAAAATAATCATAAAAGAGGCCGGGTGCGGTGGCTCATGCCTTTAATCCCAACACTTTAGGAGGCCAAGGCGGGCCAATCATGAGATCAGGAATTCGAGCCCAGCCTGGCCAACATGGTGAAACCCTGTCTCTACTAAAAATACAAAAAAAATTAGCCAGGTGTGGTGGTGCACATCCCAACTACTCAGAAGGCTGAGGCAGGAGAATCACTTGAACCCAGGAGGCAGAGGTTGCAGTGAGCCGAAATTGTGCCATTGCACCCCAGCCTTGGTGACAGAGCAAGACTCCATCTTGGAAAAAAAATTAATAATAATAATAATAATAAAGAAGGAGGCAACAACTGGGAGAGAAGTTGTCAGGTGGGCTTGGGCAGCAAGACAAAGGTGAGGATGCTTGATGGGGAGCCTCACGGGAGGGGAAGAGGAAATGTTCCTCCAAAGCAAACATAGGGTTCCATGGAGGGAAGTAAAAATGTTAAAAATGGGCCCAGCGCAGTGGCTTATGCCTCTAATCGCAGCACTTTTGAGAGGCCACGGTAGGTGAATCGCTCGAGCCCAGGAGTTGGAGACCAGCCTGGGCAGCATGGTGAAACCCTGTATCTACTGAAAATACAAAAAATTAGCTGGACATGGTGGTGCACACCTGTAGTCCCAGCTACTCAATAGGCTGAGGTGGGAGGATTGCTTGAGCCCAGGAGGTGGAGGCTATAGTGAGCCAAGATTGTGCCGTTGCACTCCATCCAGCCTGGGTGACAAAGCAAGCACCTGTCTCAAAAAAAAAAAAGCATATTGTTCAAGGCCAAGGAATTCTCTTTACTTATTTCTATTTTTCCTTCTCACTTTCATGCTCCTCTTCCTTAATCTTCTCCATCTTCTTTGCAGATTTCTGTTTATACTGCTGGGACCTTCTGGGAGAGCAAAATCCTACAATGAAATTGGCCGTGCCATTGCAACCCTCATGGTAGATGATGTAAGTGGTAACCAGAAGCTTGTACTCCTGAATTTTACAGCTCCTGCAACAAGCACTGCACCTTCATTCATTAACTTATCCAACCAGCACATTTGAGCATCTACTGTGTAACAGGCACTACACAGGATGCTAAAGATAATGAGAATCAGGGAATAGTCATTGTCCTTTAGGAGAACCAATCAAGTGTGAGGGACAGACGATAATTGTAAAACTAACCATGTGCCAGCTTCCCAGGAGGTCAAGGAGGGCTTCACAGATGAGGGGGCTTTAAAGCTAAGGAGGAGCAGGAGGAAGGCAGACCCAGCACCAGGCTATGAGGCAAGCATTCCAAACAAAGGAAATGGATCAGGCTCAGAGAATTTGGATGGAGGTGGTTTGATGTAGGCTCAGTGTAAGAGCTTCAAGGGCAGGAGGTAACACTGGAGAGGTGAGCCAGAGACTACACAGAGCCTGTAAGCAGAGCTGAGTAACACTCTGTCCCCAGAGTGATGGGGAGCCTAGAGGACTTTAACTCTTTCCCGTTTGTGCCAAGAATACTCGCTGGCAGTGCTTGCAGCTGCAGGCTTTACCCCAAGATAACTTTTCCCCAGGAAATGTCTCACTTTTATCATTTTTGCATTGCTCTTGTATATTGACTTTGGAAACAAAAGACATCATTCTACTTATAGCATTCTGTTTTTAGTTGTGGTATTTCCATTTACAAAATATACTAACTCTCAATCATTGAAAATATCAAATGCTAGAAAACTAGCATTCCTATGAGTGATGCTAACATCATTCTCAGTTTTTCGCCTAAGATTCATTCGATGAATCCAGTTTTTCCAAATTAGATGACTCTGATCATTCCAGTGATTCTGATGTTAGTTGTTTTTAGAAATACCTCTAAGAATAATTTTTATATTTCATTTTCACATTGAAAATCAGTCAGATTTGCTTTGGCCTTAAAGAGTGTTTCTGTAAAATTAAATGAGTGCTGGCAATGAGCTGCACCTTTTTTTTTCCTAAACGGGAAAAGGTTAAACATGAGCATATCCCACGAATCTGTAAGTCAGAAAGCACACTCTGGAGACAGTGTGAACAACATGACGTGAGCCTCCAAGGGCGAAGGGCTGGAAGTAAAAAATGGATGTGAAATATCTGAGCTCCTTGGACTGGGCTCTACAGAGGTTTTCTAATGCGCGTGCTGTGTGGAAAACTGAAACGGAAAGGTTACGTAACTCAACCAAAGTCCTACAAGCAAGAATATGGAGACCTGGCCTTCAGATCCAAGACAGGCTGTCTTCCCCCAGCGCCTGCTGTGTCCCGTTGTGGTTTATTTTACCAATGTGCTATGGTCTCATTCCAAAAACTGAGAGTGAGTTGTCAGTGGGAGACGTGGTTCAAAATGATTTCTTTAAAAACTAGATGTGGTATGCTCCCGGGCATGTCAGAAACAGATGCGATCTTTCTTTTCTCCCTCCTCTCTCCTCACCAGCTCTTCAGTGACGTGGCCTACAAAGCCCGCAATCGGGACGATCTGATTGCAGGAATTGATGAATTTCTGGATGAGGTCATTGTCCTTCCCCCGGGAGAATGGGACCCAAATATCCGAATTGAGCCACCCAAGAAGGTACCCTCTGCTGACAAGAGGTGTGTATGAGAATGGGCAGTAGGGGGAGAAAAAGGAGGCTTCAACTCTGTTGGTATCATTTTATTGCTCTTTAAAATACATCTGAGGCTCAGCATAGTGCCTCATGCCTGTAATCTCAACACTTTGGGACGCTGAGGTGGGTGGATCACTTGAGTCCAGGAATTTGAAACCAGCCTGGGCAACATAGTGAGATCTTGTCTCTACAAAAAGAAATCAAATTAGCTGGGCATGGTGGCATGCACCTGTAGTCCCTGCTACTCTGGAGGCTGAGGCAGGGGGATTGATTGAGCCCAGGAGGCCAAGGCTGCAGTGAGCTGTGATCATGCCACTGTACTCCAGCCTGGGCAACAGAGTTTGACCCTGTCTCAAAATAACTTTTAAAATAAGTTTAAAAATAATAAGATATATCAGAAGCAAATATGGCTAAATGTGAACATTTGTAAAGTCTAGGTGACCTGCGTGTGGATATTGTTAGATCATTTTCTGCATTTTTGTCTGTCTTTTAAGATATTTCATAATTTTGGTTGGAGAGGTGAAGGGTGCTCTGGGGGACCCACTCTCCCTCATCCGCCTTCTCTTCCAGGAAATCTGTGTTCTCCCTAGCAGAGCTGGGCCAGATGAATGGCTCTGTGGGAGGAGGCGGCGGAGTTGCTGGAGGAGGCAATGGAGGTGGTGGTGGTGGTGGCAGTGGCGGCGGGGCTGGCGGTGGCGGGGCCGGTGGAACGAGCAGCGGGGATGATGGAGAGATGCCAGCCATGCACGAAATCGGGGAAGAACTTATCTGGACGGGAAGGTGCCCACCCCAGGCCTCCCAGTGACCCTGCTGTCCTTTAGACTTCTCTCCTTCTCAGCCGCCCTCTGGGGACCTTTCCCAACCACGGCCTGTAGTGCCCACTCGAGGTCACCCCTGCCTTCTTTCCCTCCCAGAGCCCTTGAACCCCATCACGGATCCCCAAAAAGGGTTGCCTCAGGAGAGGGGAATTTGAGACCCATACAAGAGGAGAGGAACCCAAACTTTTCTCTTAGACATCCTTTGGTGCCTGTTTCCTGGGTCTGCTGTAACAAAGTACCACAAACTAGATGGCTTAAAACAACAGAAGGTTACTTTCCTGCAGTTCTGGAGGTGAGGAGTTCCACAGCAGGTGTTGGCAGGACCACCATGCTCCCTGAGGCTCTGGGTGGAATCCTTCTTGGCCTCCTCCTGGCTTCTGGTGGTGGCCAGCAGTTCTTGGTGTTCCTGGCTGGCAGCTGCATCACCCCCGGCTCTGCCTCTCCACCACATGGCCTCCTGTGTGTCTGTCTTCACAGAGCACTTTCCTCTTTGTATAAGGACCCCAGTCATATTGGATTAGGGCCCACCACAATACTTAATCTAAACTGGATTACATCTTCATAGATGTGAGGACCTTAATGTATCTTTTGGGGCAACACAATTCAATAACAGCACCTTTTTTTAAAACTTAATTTACCTATTCAGAAACTTTTTTTTTTAAAGAAAATAAGAGAAAGTTCTCCTGGCCTGGGTTTCTTTTCCAGCTCTTGGAGTCATTCAGGTTGACCTAGATTTAGGAAAGGATGTGGCCTTGCAAATCTACATATAAAGCATGACTTTGAGAATGAAGTCATGTTTTATATGCCCTTGGCTTTATACCAGTGGTTCTTATTGTACGCAACTGTGGCCCTCCTTAGTCCCCCTACCCCCGAGCCCAGGGGATTTGGCACAACTTGAGAGGGGCGATGCTACTTGCATGTAGTAGGTAGCTGCTAAACATCCTGCAGTGCACGGGACAGCCCCTACAGCAAAGGAGTATCCAGTCCAAAATATCAGCAGAAATGAGGTTGAGAAACTCTGCTCCATGCTAAGGACTGCATTAGGGGTTATGGGAATAGCAATCCCAGTAAACAATGTCTCCAAACCTAAAATCTCCCACTCAACTGTTCCAGATAGCAAAATCAAAAAATAAGCAAATACCAACCAGTTATAAGGTTTAGGATCTGTTCTTAATGAATCTGTTATAATCTGGGATGCCTCTGTCACTGAAAGTTAGACATACCTGTGTTCACCAAGAGCGGGCACTCTGTAGATGGTCAGGGATGAGGAGGACCATCATCTGTGGACCCCAGGACTTCCATTCTCCATGGACTGTTGGGTCTACCCCAGGATATATTCCCATCAGACTTTCTCTCTCCAAAACCCCTATGTCCACCCTTCCCAGTGTGGGTGGTGCCAACCACAAACTCAGTCCTACAGGAATTCATCCCTGGCCCTAAATGTTCTGGTGGAAAGATCTTTGCCCCATCCACCCCAGTCAAGTTCCTTTCCTCGCCCCAGGGTCTGCAGGTTCTTGTAAATAGCCCTGCCCCTGCACTGGTGTTAGTGGTGAGAAAGCAGCCCCTGGGCCTGTCTTGAGCAGGTTCTTCGGTGGACTGTGTCTGGATATCAAGAGGAAGTTGCCCTGGTTCCCAAGTGACTTCTATGATGGCTTCCACATTCAGTCCATCTCTGCCATCCTATTCATCTACCTCGGCTGTATCACCAACGCGATCACCTTTGGTGGGCTTCTCGGGGATGCCACCGACAATTATCAGGTGTGTGTGAGCTGGGGCCCTGAGTGTAAAAGTAAGATCTGCCACCACCTGGTGGCAGCAGGAAGTTTCATCTTGTAATCCCAAAACCAAGGTTTCATCTACCAGCCAGGTTGAGGCCATCAGTATTTGTAATCCTTTACCCTTCAAGTAATAATGATAATAATAAGGCAGTATTAAAGATCTGAAGCTAAATCTCATTACTAAAGACCACATTTAATGATTATTTAAATAGGCCAAACTGTTAAGGGGAATCGTCTGCTGTGTTATTTGGTACTTTTTCCACTGATACTAGAGTGAATTTAATCAGCACAATTAATGGAGTGCTAATTGTGGCCTTCTCCCCACACTTTTTAAAAACTAACCTTGAATTCTTAGTTTGGAGTTAAGACATTTTTAGAAGGATGGTAAGCTGTGACCATGACAACAACTCAGGCCTCCCTGGGGAAAACAGCTCAGCAGAGACACCTGCCAATCTCCTAGGCAAGGGTCTTCTCCGGTGGAGGCCTTCAAAGTAGAGCCATTGGAAAGCTCAGTGCACCAAGGAGAAGACCCATTTGTCCAGCTGCCTTCTAGGCATGTCCACATGGCTGCCCCTTGGGATTCCCCATGACTGCCCCTCAGGGTCCCTCAATTCACAGAGCTGACATTGCATCCCTTGTCTTCCCTCCTGACCTGCTGCTCCCTGCCCTTCCCTAGCATAGCAGGTGATACCATGGGTTCACTCAGCTGTCTACACCAGAAACTAAGCATTATCCTTGACTCATAAATCCCAGCTGCTCCATGTGGCCCTCACCACATGGCCCTACCTGGCTCTCACACCTCGCCTCCCAGCATTCTCTTTCTCAGCATTCCTACCCTCCCCACCCGTTCTACATTCTGTTTTCCATCAATCCTGATCATCTTTTGGTTCTTCAAGTACATGCTGTTTTTCAGCTCCGGACCTTTTAGACACTACTCCCTCTTCCTGGGACACTGTTTCTTGTCACTCCACTTAACCCCATTCCCCTAGCCAATTCTCTGCTCATTTTTTGGATCTCAGCTTCCACTTATCTACTTCTAGGGAGGCCTTCCTGACCACCCCTTTACCCCTACTGCGTGCTCCTGTGGCACTCTAAACCTATCCCAGCTTAGCACACCTCTTGGCAGTGGCTCTCAACCAGGGACAATTTTCACCCCAGGAGACATTTAACAATATCTAGAGACAGTTTTCATTGTTATAGCCGGGAGGAGGGTTGCTACTGGTATCTAATGTATAGAGGCTGTGGATGCTACTAAACACACTACAATACACAGGACAGACCCCTCACAACAAAGAATCATCTAGCCCAAAATGTCCGTTGTGCAGAGGTTGAGAAACCCTGCTATACGGAAATTGCCTGGTTACTTACCTGTGTCTCCCACTAGAATGAAGAGGTGTTATCTTGTTCAGTGATGGGTCCTCAGTCCTTTCACAATGCCTGGTACATAGCAGACAGTTAGTGGATTTTGAATACATGAATTATCTGACCTGTAAAAGCACCAAACAGATGTTTGAATGAATGAATAATCAGATGGATAAATGGACCGTCCTCTGGGAGTAGAATGGACACAGAGAAAAGCACGTCCACTGTTTTGTAGGCCCTGGGTGCCAAAAGGAAGTCACATGGTACCTTTATCTAGATGGAATTAAACAGAGTGACACTGGTCATGGTGGCACGTTGTAGAGGATGTAGGAGATGGAGAACAGGATTTAGGCAGGAAAGGGCCCAGAACAAAGGATAAACACTGTGGCCTGGGCCCATGGAGAGATTGCTGGGCTGCAGCCTGTGTGGAAAGACCCCTTCTCCTTCCTATGCTGAGTCACACATTCCTTGTGCCCCCAGGGAGTGATGGAGAGCTTCCTGGGCACTGCCATGGCTGGCTCCTTGTTCTGCCTCTTCTCGGGACAGCCTCTCATCATTCTCAGCAGCACGGGGCCCATCCTCATCTTTGAGAAGCTTCTCTTCGACTTCAGCAAGTAGGTGTCCCTTGGTGGCCCCCAGTGCCTGCTCTCGCACTTGGGATGGTATGCTGGGGCCAGAGCAGGAATAGGCCCAAAGGGGAGGTGGTGGTGCGGAGGTGCCAAAGCCATCTTTAACCATGGGAAGGGCTACCAGGTGACTCCTCCTGACTCCTGCCAGCTACCTGCCTTTAAGACATCTTAGTGCATATTGGCACAGCCAGTAGGGGCCAGCCACGACAAGAGGAGAAAATTCACACCACTCAGTTCGTGAGCAATGGTGATTTGATAGGCAGTATGGTGCATGAAGTCTTGGACTGAAGGTCAGAAGGTTACACCCAGACCCAAGCAGCTCCCATCGCTACTCCAGGCTCAGTTGCCTCCTCTACAACATGAGGGTTTGGACTAGACCATTTCCAAGGGCTGCTCCAGCCCTGTTCTTCCAAAATTCCCATTTTTCATTCACTCTGGTGTCTGTTACCAACTGTGGGCACTGAGATGTCTTAGCACCTTCCTGCCTCCCCCATAAGATCTCTTAAAAAAATTTTTTTTGGCTGGGCTTGGTGTGTCACACCTTGCAATCCCAGCACTTTGGAAGCAGGGGCGGGAATCACCTAAGGTCAGGAGTTTGAGACCAGCCTGGCCAACATGGCAAAACCCCCATCTCTACTAAAAAATACCAGAAATCAGCCGGGTTGGGTGCGGGCGTGTTGCCAGCTACTTCAGGAGGCTGAAGGCACTGGAGGAATCATTGAAAGCCAGGTAGGCAAGAGGTGGAGTGCGGATTCAGTTGCACTCCAGACTGGTCAAAATGAGTGAGACTATCTCAAAAAAAAAAAAAAAAAATTCTATATCAGATGGGACCCCAGGAGACCAAATAATCAGACAACTCAACCCAAGAATTGGTCCCTGTCCCCAAGTCCTTTCACAATCCTGGGAGGGCCATCTGTGGCCAGCAGGAGGAACAGATAAGCCACTCAGGGGTGGGTCTGAGGAGTCAAGCACAACCAGGAGCCCGGGCTGGAGGCCCGTCACCTCCCCTCTGCCTTCCAGAGGCAATGCCTGGACTACATGGAGTTCCGCCTCTGGATTGGCCTACACTCAGCTGTCCAGTGCCGCTATCCAGTGGCACCAGCAGTGCCAGCTTATCATCAAATAAATATCACCCCGCTTCACCGAGGAGGGCTCTCAACCCTCATCAGCTTCATCTTCCATCATATGATGCCATCAAGAAGATGATTGGTGCCTTCAAGTACTAACCCTATCAATATGGACTTCAAGCCACGAACTGTCATCACCACACCTTACAAGTTGCGAGGTGCGTCGCCCCTAAGACACAGC